AAAATGTAAATTTTAAATGCATTTTTAGGGTAGTTAGCGATTGAATAAAAATTTTGTATTTTTTTTAGTACTTCACTAACACCACAGAATCAATTTGAGAGACTTTTTAAAAATGACTAAAATACCCTATTAAGAATCAGTCCATGTATTTAAAAAAATCGCATCAAAATCCGTAGCGTTTTTTTTAAAGATCTACTTAACAATACATATGGACAGACAGACGGCGGATAGCGACTTTGTTTTATACTATTTAGTGGTAGTAAAAAACGTGGAAAAGAAATTAAGTAGATACTTACTTACGTTTAAATTTTTTACTAAACACTAATCATAAATGGAGAAAGTGTACCTAGACAGTACCTACCTATTAAAAACAACTAATGACATCACCTAGTTACCTCATAAGACGCGTAAGACGTAAACAGAGACACCGTGAAGATCTTACGTTTAAATTAAATTAATCAGAACACTCGTAACTTTAAAAATACTTGTAGAAAGTGTGATAACAACCACTATCCGCAGTATCCGCACATACGCTTTTACGCCTACAAATTATAACCCGAACAAATTAGCACGTCATTCAATTAATAAACGAGCTTGTTAATTTCGTCAGTTTTCTATTTAGTCGGGTTATACGGGTCGTTTACTTCACCGGTTCGCACACCTGTTTCACTGGCCAGGCATGCGCAGTTAGCGCTTGACTTTCGAACGTGATTCGACGCGCGCATTTAAAAAGTCCGCAGTCACAATTTTGGCGGCATTTTCCGTAAATCATAAACGACATATTTTATTTTTATTTGTGTTTAGTGGAAGTGAACAAAATGGGTGTGTAGTAAATTGATTGTTTATCAAAATATTACGTTTGAATTGTAGTAATGCAGTGAATTACCTAGTGTTTTAGTGAAAGTGTAAGGATTTGAATTTTAAAAAGTTACAATGAAGTCTACGTTTTTATTTGGCGGATGCCTGCTATTATTGGCTGTTTTAATAGGTAAGTCCAAAATAAATAATACACGGAGCAAGACTTTCTAATGTCGCTAAAATACCAATACCTATTTTTATTCTGTAAGTAAACTATTAGGTATAGTTCCTAAGATTAATAAAAATAATCCTATAATAATTAAGTATGCGGTAATCGCAGCAGCCGGAATACTTGAGTTTATGATTTAATTTGTGTAATTTTTACCATTACCGTGAAAATTACGACTATGACCTACTTTTCAAAGGTAATCTGCTGACTTTATGGATTTTATGTAAATGTTTTACCTACATAAGAACCAGTGAGAGGTAGAGCTTCCCAAAAATAATATAGATAGGTTATTCGAAACAGATTATTCTCTAAATAGGTAATACACTACATTTTTTACAATTGAAAATTAGACTAATAGGAACATAACATAGTCTTAGTCTATAATGTATATAAAATCTTATGTGTACCTACTAATACAGGTAGGTACACATTTATTTTACCTATCAATAAAAACCAAAGCCGTGGAAAACTTAACGGGCTGCCGAGGCTCCGGCTCGAAGTGCAGGAGTAGGAACGGGGTGATTTTTAGTCAGTAAGAGTCTGACACTCTCCCGCCTCACCTAGACGGAAGAAGTCATTCGATGGTAAGTAATCCCCGCTTAAAAAAAAAACTATAAATAATTATAGGTACTACTTATAATAGGCATACAAAAGGCTTAAGGACATGTAACCCATAAAACATCGACCATTAACGTAAATACATATTATGTACCTACGTAGAGGTGCGTAGGACACTAATAAACGTTCTTACTTCAGCACTTTCTTTAATTTTCTCTTTTAGCATTCAGTTTAAAACTACTTTCAATTGCTTTCAATACGACCTTGAACTTACCTCTCACGATATAGTTACTAAAATTATAATAATTTATGAATGAGTGACCTACAACTTTTTCAAAGTAGGTACCTAATATGACACGACATAATCTGGGTGCATTGTTTTCTTAAATTGAATAGATTCTGGGACATTACTATACATGTACACAATGTGAATATTATCTATTTTTATTTTTCTAACACAAAATAGGTATTTAAATTACAGTATTCAGTGCGATTCGTGGAAATACGGAAGAAAAATTATGTATAGAGACAGGAAGATAAAAAATTGGACAAACTTTGCCTTTAAGTAGGTAACAATTTTCGTAATACAGACGAAAATAATTAGGTACCTATTAATCTAAATCAAATAGGTATGTAATAGGTAACTTAATAATTTGAAACATATTATGATTGGATAGTAATTATATAGTCCAAAATAGTACTTATTTCTCTGTACTTACTTAATGTTAAAAATTAAGTCATTAAACATTTAAGACCAATGTCAACTGTTCATTGCTTTAGATTTAAAATAAATAAAGCATTACTACATTTTAGCTATCTTAATAATGAAGTAACCCTATAAATCTCGTTGGTTTAGCGATTGCAAGGGCGACTACTGAATAGGTACGAGGTTTTGTTTATAATTTCATTTTTAATTCTCATAACATGGTAGCGTAGAGTCTAGA